CAACATTATGACAAATACCTCCCATATACGGAAATTACGTAATATTATTAATACATCCTATAATCGTCTCAACAGAAAGCAGGCTTAGTGAGCCAGTAAGAGGTACTCATATCACATATACTGTTACAGAAAACTGTAGATAAGATGTAGATGTATATTTAACAAAAAAAACTGATAATATTTTTTTTGCCTTGCCCTCTCGTAAATTTCGCCGCTAGGGTCCTTCCTAATTAGTTAAGCGAGTCCGTGACACGTTACTGTCACAGCTTGTCGAGTTTATCTTTCGTCTACCTTACTTGTGCTTGGTCCATTGCTCTCTGGCTGTCTCCTCGTTCATTTTCTATACGTAGGCGTGAGTTCTTGCAAAAATACCTTATCATGTCCCTCCTGATGAGCTGTATGAGCATAGGCTCGTGTGATTGTCGAGAATTCGAGCGCCTTCACGTATATTGTCTTTCATCACGCTTTGCGCATTAGGCTCAGATCCAACGCACTCGACTCAGATGAGAAAGGAGAGAAAGGAAAGTAGCAGATGAAAGCTTCTGAAGGGTCGACTCAAAGCACAGCAACGCCTTCAGTGACGAACGCGGAGGAAGCTAGTGCAGAGAACTCGGATGAGGTCAATGGCTCGGACCCAGTGGGGGCTCCAGTAAGTGATGCGGAAGCGAAGCCGGTACCAGAAGGCGGTCATGCAAAAGAAAAAACTGGACATCTCCTGGGAAAGATTAACAACCTTATCACGACCGATATCGAGGCGACCTCGAGGTCTCCCTTCTTTGTTTCTCTTCGTGAGGTTATTTGCTCCATGTGTATGCGTGTATACTGATTTGCCTTTCTGCACAGCTGGCACAGTTATACAGCTAGTAATTTCTATTATATTCCTGTATGACTTGCTAGGATGGAGGTATTAATAGTGTTTACTTTTATTTCGGAATTAGCTGATGGAACAATTCATAGCTCCTTTGTTGGCCTTGCTGTAATGGTGATTTGTTTTCCCATTCCCTTTTATGCCGGGCAACGCATGGCGAAGATACAAAAAAGTAAAATGGCCGCTGTGAGTCTTTCGTGCCTCGTACCTACGGCAGCGCCTCATTTAGCGAGTCATATAGACCGACAAACGTGTTCAATATGTCACTGAAGGTATGTTTCTGATTCTGTCAAGACACGCAGCTTACATACCTGACTGCTTGTAGCGATGGGTATTCTTAGGATGATCAAGCTTTTCGGATGGGAATCGTATATGCTTAAGCAGCTGAGTCATCGACGTGAAGAGGAATTGTCAAAAATTATGATGGTCCGGGTACTCGAGGCACTAATGAACGTCACAAGCTCTATGCTCCCACTTCTTTCCAAACTAGTTGTGATTTCGATTTACGTAAGTCGCTCGACGGTACAAGAAAAATGTGTTCCTTAACTCTAACTTTATGATCTACAAACGGTCCGCTAGACTCTGGTCTCGAAAGGAGAACTCAAGGCATCAACTATCTTTGCCGCGTTGATGGTAGGCGTTAAAATGAATCGCGATATTACTGCACGTAGGTTTCCCTGAGCTCTGTCCTTCAGGTCTTCAGTATGATGGAAGAGCAACTACACCAATTTATGTTCGTATTCCCTGAGATACTCCGCGGTAAGACATATACTACTTCGCGTGTACGTTGGGACGCCTAACTTGTATTCCACCGTTATTCTCCGTAAAATAGCGAAAGTGTCGTATGATCCTTTCAACGAGTTTTTAAATTCGGTGCGTTCGATTGTGTTGTTTAGGCGCAGGACCCATTCTAACCTCTACGTATAACCGTTTTATAGACTGAGCTTCTGTCTGAGGGAAATGCTCACGAACACCAATCAGAGGACAATGAGCAAACACATGCACTTGTTCCTGAACAGCCTGCGCATGACGTTGTGGGCTTCAAGCAATGTTCATTCTCGTGGGATCCATTTGACAACAATGAACCAACGGTGCCCTCCTCCAATCACCAAGCGCGAAGGCGATTTGTCCTCCGATTTGATGACGAGGTGATATTTAAGCACGGAGAGATTAATCTTATCGTCGGACTGACTGCATCTGGAAAGGTAAAATAATACACATTTGGTGGTTTCGTGTTGACAGACGCGTTTGAAGACATCTGTCCTTATGGCACTCCTTGGAGAGATGTATTACAAGCCACACGGGATTGGATCTTGGTATAATTTGCCTCGGGATGGTGGAGTTGCATATGCGCCTCAGGAATCATGGGTGCTAAACGAAACGATTAGGGTATGTCGTATTGCTGAATCTCTGTCTGTAGAGGTCTGATATGACTTTCCATTCAGGATAATATCCTATTCGGCGAACCGTACGAAGAAGGCCGTTACAAGCAAGGTACGAGATGAGTCCGAGGGTGCAGCCGTGGTTCACCTGTCTATGTAGTGTTGAAGCAATGCGCCCTGGAGAGAGATCTAGAATTATGGAAAGCTGGAGATCTTACTGAAGTCGGCGAGAAGGGTCTAACCTTAAGGTAAGGTAATTCGTTTCTTGTATCGCTCTTCTTCACTAACGGTTTGCTCAGTGGCGGCCAAAAGGTTCGTCGAAAATTATAACGGACTAACTGGTGCTCATCTGGCATGCAGGCGCGAGTCACTCTCGCACGTGCTCTATACTCTTCTGCGTCTATAATACTTCTGGATGACGTCTTAGCTGCCCTAGATGTCCATACTGCAAAATCGATTGTCGAAAATGCGCTGCAGGGTGATCTAGTACAAGGCCGCACAGTTTTGCTTGTCACCCATAATATTGCCCTTGCTGCTCCCGTAGCTGCATACGTCGTTGCTCTAGGTGGCCATGGGACAATATCTGCTCAGGGGCCTGTAGCTGAAGTACTGAAGAGGAACTCGCGACTTCGCGCTCAAGTCGAGAGTGCACCAAAGGAAATTGTGGAAGACATCGACAGCAAGCTGAACGAGCGCACCAACGACAAGGATGCGAATATAGATGATAAGAAGGCCGCAGGGAAATTAGTTGTTGCAGAAGAAAAGCAGATGGGAAGGGTGGCACTGGCAGCTATTATGTTATACCTGACAAGTGTCGGAGGCCCGTTCGTTTGGATGCTGATACTTGGTTCAAGGGTATTTGAGACGTTGGTCTATATCGGTTCGCCTTGGTTTATGGGATATTGGTCCAACCAATATACGACGCGTCCTCCAGACGAAGTGCCGGTGTTGAGGTGAGTATCTCGTAGTTTTCATGATGCGACCATTCCATTGACAGCCTTCAAGGTATTTGTGCATTTTCGCGCTTATAAATGTGACACAGTTTTTTGCCGAGCTTGTGTCGCAAGTATATTGGATTTTTAGGTCCGTGCGGGCTGCAAGAATCATTCACTCGCACCTCTTGCAGAGCATCTTCACGTCCACCTTCTGGTATGTCAATAGCCACGTTAATTCTTCCGTTGTGCTAATGCTTGTTGTTAGTTGGTTGGATCTTACGCCCGTTGGCCGCATCGTTACGAGGTATCTACTGAAACTACGCTTTTAGACATTTGAAATAATTCTTTTGATGTAGATGCACACAGGATACAAGTACCATTGACACAACACTGGGGCACATGATGAGCCCATTCCTGGCTGTCAGTATAACCCTTATCGGCCTTTTTATTTCGTCGATCGTTATGGCGGGCTGGTATGCTTTCGTTTCCGGACTCACTATCACTATCTTGGGAGGATCATTGGGTTTGGTTTACCTGAAATGCCAGATGTGCATCAGGCGAGAGATGAGGTAACTGCGTGGAAAGTTATATACCTTCTCATTGCTAATTGATCCTTATCCTATAGTAATGCCAAAGCGCCTGTCATGAGTCAAGTTGGGGCAGCATTAGCGGGTCTACGTGAGTCTCTCTGACGTTACTTACATCACTTTACCGACAATGCGTGTAGCGTCTATCAGGGCTTACAACGCCCAAAAGATTTTTGACACGGAACTCCGGAAGCGCATTGACATCTATGCTCGGACTGCGTATTGCACTTGACATCAGCCGATGGGTTTCTATCCGGATGGACGGTCTAGGAGCGATCTTCGCGGGTTCTGTAGCTGCGTACCTCGTCTATGGGGAGCATGTAGAAGCAGGATATGCTGGTTTCACGCTATCCGTTGTCCTGCAATTTTCACGACTCATCTTGTCTTGGGTCAGGCTGTATTATCTTCTGGAAGTTCAAGGTATGGATATTATTCATTTCTTCGGCCCCGAAACTTAGCATGCTCACGTGTTACAATCATGTAGCAAACAGGTCCGCAATCTTTGTGTTCTATGCATTCTTCACTTTACTCATCCTGTTGCCAATCTCAGCCTGGAGCGGATGCTTGAGTTTATGCGTATTAACCACGAACCAGAACCAAGCGAAAGTGGGAAACCACCTGCATATTGGCCGTCTAGCGGGGCGTTGCGTGTCGAAAACCTCTCGGCAAAATATTCTGATGGTGAGTGACAATAAGAGCCGTCTTATACTGCTTTCATATGTTCGTTTATAGATGCTCCAACAATTTTACGGAACATCTCATTTAAAATAGAACCTGGAGAACGGGTTGGAATAGGTAAGTCTGATGGAGAAAATGACTAGACGTGCATTCCGGCTGAATAAGACTAAATTTACCTAGTGGGCCGGACCGGAGCAGGTATATTCATAGTAGTCACCATCGGGTTTGTAGCCTCATTGAATACACAGGCAAATCAAGCATGGCCTTAGCTCTGCTCCGAGCAATCAAGACCGAAGGAAAGGTTTACTATGACGGAATAGCAACGGATGAAATCAATCTCGATACTCTACGTTCCAACATTACGTTGATCCCTCAGCAGCCTGAGCTCATCCACGGAACGCTGCGCGAAAACCTTGATCCCTTCAATCAGTACGACGATGCGGTACTTAACGACGCGTTGATAGCTGCTGGACTTTTCAACATCAAGGATGGAACTCAGGCAAGCGGTTCCCAGACTGTTCAATCCGCCTCAGATGTAGGGCGACCAGCAAAGATCGGGCTGGACACAATGGTAGAGAGTGATGGAACAAATTTCTCCCTCGGCCAGCGTCAGATCATTGCTCTCGCACGAGCCATCGTTCGAAAGAGCAAACTATTGATCCTCGATGAAGCAACGGCCGCCATTGGTATGACGTCCCGCACCTTGACCAGACAAGTTCACATCATTTTGTTATTACATAGATTATGACACGGACGCCGCAATTCAAAAAACCCTACGCACTGAGTTCAGCAGCGATACAACTCTACTTACAATTGCGCATCGTCTACAGACAATCATTGACTATGATAAAGTTGTAAGTATGCGTTTGCGTTTGTTGTCAAAACTCTGGCGCGCTCGTTCACTCTCGCTCGACAGATGGTATTAGACGCGGGTGAGCTTGTCGAATTCGATAGCCCAAGTAACTTGCTGCGGAAAGAAAGAGGTGTATTCCGAGTCTTAGTAGAAGAAAGCGACGATCGTGATCTCCTGCGCAGACTTGCTGGTGAACAGTAGCGTGGCGTTGGTAGGTAGATAGGTATATTCCCAGTTGATATCCTTTTTGTACTGTAAGGTAAGATCATGCAATATGTCTACAAAGCGATTCTAACGATCAGATTCCAATTACCAGAAGAAGACGACGATTGTATTTACAAAATTGTATAGACTGCGAAGGGCCTTTTCATCAACTTACATTTATTTGACCTCGGCCTGCACATTGTGTATATTGGTAATGTATCTGCCACGCGACTTTTGAGAATCTGTCTTTCCGTCGTAAATGCCAAGCACGAATAGCCCATGTGAAAGTGAGCCTGGCAGCAAGGACTTACATTTGCAACGCACCTCATTGGACAATCGGCGTGCCTCCGCAGCAGAGTGGATTTGCGGTGGATCGACCCTGACTTGGCAGTGGCTGTGTAATCAGTGCTGCGGCTTGCTTCCGCCTCAAAGTTTGCCTCGGGTAATCGCATCGTTGACGAAACCGTCCGCTCATCTTGGACTAGCTTACTTATTAAGAGCATTTACGAGAAATCTAAATCTTTGTCGCGTCTCTCAAGCTGGGCTATTTCCGTACATCGTTGGGGCTCAAATTGCATGTTGGAATACAGCGTTTGCTGCGCTCGGCACCGAGGAACCAGTCGCATGTGTCCTATTACTGCGCAGCCCGGACTCTGTTATATTTTGCCCTATGACATGGAATTCACGTAGTGTCGGCCCCCGTTTGTTATGTCTTCCGTATGGATCCACTCTTTTCAAAGCAACGACTAAATTCCGGAATATCGTTATTGTCGTTCGCTTCGAGATGCCTGGACGCTGCGCATGACATGGCCGCCGACAGCTTTCGTACCAATCATGTGGGCAAGCAATGGGGCGGTATCAGTTTCGTTCTATAAAAGCTCAATTGCTGGTTGAGTCTCTACATCGACCAAGCAGACATTTACTCCTCTCTTAAGAATCTACGATCTCAATAATGCTCAAGTTTGCTGCTCTCTTCGTCCTCGCCACGACTTTCACCAGCCAAGTCTTGGGTATGTTGTCTATTGCATATGCTTGCACAACTACGGCCTTATACACATTTATAGCTCACGGTGCACCACCAAGTGGCGCCGCAATGATGCATCGTCGCCAGCACAATATTATCGTCGGGCGCTCACTTCAAAAGCGGTGTGGTGCGACCTTGACGAAACGTAGGGCGGCTCGCATGCAGAAACGCGCAATAGGCGGCCTCACGGAGTTCAAGCGCGACACTAATGATTCGTTGTGCTTGCTTACGCCCGAGGTCACTCAGGGACCGTATCATATCCTGGGTGAACTTGTTCGTCAGAACATCACACAGGGACAGAGTACGTCGTTTTCGTTTTGTAAAATTGGATACAAAGCTGAGGCACGAGTGAACCTTAGCGGGTGTTCCGTTCGAGATTGATGTCGACTTTATTGATATTGACACCTGTGAGGCCGTCCCGGTAAGCCTATTATGCCATCTAAAGTTGCATCATCTGCTAACGCACTCTCTTTCAATAGAACGTATGGGTCGATGGCTGGTCGTGCAATGCCACTGGCGTATAGTGAGTCACTATCTACCAATCTGCCAAGTCGTGGATTCGAATTATTCCTAGTTCCGGATATGAAGCTGCTTCCGAGGCTGCGAATACAGGTGGCACTGGTAGTGGAGGAGCACCTTCTGGGTCTGGGGCGCCAAGTGGTGCGCAGCCTTCATCCACCGCGACCGGTGCATACGCTGGTGCAGACAGTCCCGACTCGGCCATTGGCGCTACTGCACCCGGTGACTCCGACGTACGTCATCCATGCGCTTTCAATCGAATTGTATCTGACATTCTTCGACCGTCCAGAACTTCTTGCGCGGAGTATGGCAGGCTGATGAGAGTGGCCAATTGACGATGTACTCCATCGTTCCGGGTTGGTATAGCGGTCGTGCAACACATTTCCACATCAAGGTGTACACTGAAGGCAATGGTTCCATCGCTGATAACGGAACATTCATTGCTGGCAGTGCAATGCAGTACGTCTCGATCTTTCTATTCCATATTAAATGACCTATATCCTGACATGGAATCTAGTACCGGTCAGTTCTTCTTTGCAGACGACTTTATGGAGAAAGTTGGTAATGTAACACCATACAACACCAACACTATCGAACGCCTTGCAAACGCCGACGATATGTGGTATGCATACCAAAACGTACGTTCTTATTAAATTCACCTTAATCTCGAACAAGTCGAGACTAATCCTATACATAACTTAATTTACTAGGCTGAGGGATATACAGCAGATATGGATATGGCACTCGTCGACGAAAACGACATCACAGCTGGAGTCATTGGCTCAATCACTGTCGGCCTCAACTTGTGTGTTATCATTTCATTACAGTTCACAGAGAACACTTTTAATGTATTTATTCTAAACCGTTCAGGACTTACACGAGCCCTGAGATCACTGATTACTGGTGGCCGGGAAACTCCGCTTATTCCGCTTCCCTTGCAGCGTCTGAGACCGCCGCGGCTTCTGCCTCTGCTGCATGAGCTACGAGCCTTTGACTCGGAGAGTTAGTAATGATATAAATACTCCAATTCTATTTGATAACTGTATACCTGCATTTGCCTACTATTTACATAATACTATTTGTGGATATCTTGCTCAACATGCAACTGCTCAAATCATTAGAATTATTGGGTTATGTTGCATATAAAAATTACCAATGAATTAGTGCACTTGAAGGGGGAAGTTAGGTAATTAGTCCTTGCAAATTCACTGTGCCAAATATTGCTTAGTTGCATCCTTCTGTATAACTGTGCAATTAGCTGGATGCTCTTACAACTCTGGGCAGATCTGCAGCCCTACTGTCCATTCAATACATAATGCAAAACCAAGATATAAAAGTTTCTTATATTCCAGAGAAACACTATATAGTATAAGAAAGTGGAGCACAACAGTTAAATGATGGTATTAGTACTCTGAGTATCTGTCAGCAACAGTGTAGAGGGGACCCAAAGGCTCAGCAAGGGGACCCAGGCTACAACTATCCTACACAACAGAAATACAGAATGCAAGCACCAGAATGTAGTCAGAACTTGCAGAACAGACAGAGAGAGAGAGTGAGACAAGAGTAGAGTATATAGAGTGAGCCTAAGAGTACAGGACTACCTGGAGTAGACAAGATCAAGACTACAGGACTAGTCTGATCTTGTACACCTATATATACTAAACTACACAAGAGTACTCAGGGAGCATGAGCCACTAAGAATGATA